AAAAAAAAAGGGACTGGGTAGCAAGTACAAATTTTTGTGGCAATACTTGACTCTACTAAATCTTGTCCGAAAACTGGTACAGCTGATAATAAATTAGTAATTACGGTAGCCTAAGTTTTATAATATATTTGTATATTCTTACCTTATTTTTCTTTATTTTTAATAAAAATTAAATACAAAGATAAAGATAAAGAAATTTATTATCAGTATAAATACCAGATAAAAATTAATTGTTATTACAAAAATATCCTGTGCTTTAATAAAAAGCCTTGTGAAAAATAAATTCGAATGAACATTAAGCATCCTTTCAGACACCCATAATTGGACCATTCTGTCGAGATATCCTAAACTACCTACGGTCTTAATATATAACAACTAAATATTGTTGACCTGTTTTCAATTATGTCGCCTTATTAAAAATAATATTTTTATTTAGGTATTACATATTATAATAATTAATAAGACTATATTATATTAAATTAAAATAGTATCTAAAAATAAAATTAAGTTAAAAATTTAAATTTCATAGAAGAAAAAATATATGGTTTTGTAATAGTGTAAATTTTTTTAATGTTATTTGAATTAAACTCTAACCAGTTATTTGTTAAGTTAATTTTTTCTAAGTTAAATTTTTTTTCTAAAAAGAGTATAAAACTTTTAATTTCTTTATTATTAAAATTTTTCATATTTACATATAAATTTTTATTTTTAATTTTAGCCTCAGTCATCAACCAATAACAAAGAGCTTCCTCATTAAAAAAATAAAAAAAATCAATAGGTAATTTATTCTTATGTATATCTAAGTACCCTTTTGAAAATAATTCTCTATAATTTATATCTGTATGTAATTGCATTACTTTATATAACTTACCTTTTTTCAGCTGTTTGCTCATAATAAAGTGTTTTAAATAACCTAAACTTGAAAATTTTTGTTGTATATGTCTCATATAAGACTGATGTTTATCTTCAATTACTAAGAGAAATTTATTTTCATTATTAAATGTTACACTATTCCCTAGTAGAAAACCATATAAAAAACTTTTATAATTAAATTTTCCTGGTTTTATTTCAATTATCATTATTTTTATCTAATATAACATTTGGGGCACTATCATTTTTTTTACTTAGAATATAACTTTTTCAATTGTCGAACTGTAATTTTTTTAATCCTAATAATTTATTATTTTCATAAAAATTTATAATAATATTTAGATCTTTTTTAGATGAAAAAGATATTCTATATATCTTAGAATTTTCAGGGTTAATTTGATGATTTAAGGAGTCGGGACCTTTAATAAAATAATGTATAGCTTTAATAATTTGATAGTTTTCATGTCCAGATTGTACTATTGAAAAATGAGCAGTCCCTTTTGTCTTGATGTGAAAACTACCTTCAGCTATAGTGAATCCGATTAGCCAATTATTAAAATAAGGTAAATTAATTGTCTCAGTGAAATAAAGTTGCTTATTAAACTGTTGAAATAAATTATTTATAAAATCTAAATCTAAATCTTCCCAGTGTATCACATTATTTTCTATTATATATTTAAATAAAAAATATTGTTTTCGTCTATTATAACTTAAAAATTCTATCTTATTATTTTGTAAATAGGGATAAATAACATTTAATATATCTTTTTTATAAAAAATTAATCTGTATTGGTTTTTAGATTTAGAATAATCTATTTTACCTACGCCTAATTTATTTACCAATGTTTCTAATAATTCTTTATCTTTAAATTGTAAATTTATCCCTAACCTCAATCTAATAGTAGATTTGGGCTTATTATTAGGATCTTTATTATATTGTTTTTGCTGTCCTATATCGAAATAACCGTCACCATCTAAAATTCCTATTAAGATTTCTATTAATTTACAATTTTCTTTATCTTTAAAATTAAAAGTTAAAGTATCTTTATTTTTTATTGAATTTGTTGAGTTTTGTAAATTACGTTTTAAAATTATAGGTAACAGTGTCATTTGTAATTTAGTTAATTCTGTATTATTGGCACCCCATAAAGACATTTGTCCATAAGGTAAAACATACTAACTTACTTATTATTAATATATATATCAACAATAAGCTAGAATAACTTTGAATTCGTATATCCTATTAGTTAAATACTTTTTTAACTAAAAGTTCCGACTGTGCATTAAGCAGCATTTCAGCCACCCATTAGTGACCCAGTCTGTCGCGACCATTTATATGACCGACGATCTTAAAGCGCTTTTGTGATACTTCTTTGATCGTTTTCACTAACATCGCCAAATAATCTTAAAGACTATTCTATATCCCCGTCGGGATATACCACTTTAATCTTTCTTTTTCTATAAAAATTGCAGAAAGATTGTTACTCGCGGGACTATGATTTAATATAAAAATGAAGTATAATAAATTATTGATAATAAGATAACTATTTAGTTGACAAATCTTTTACTATTCATTGTCTTTTTACTAATCCTTTTTCTGTTTTTAGTGCTCTTCTAATAGTTTTTTCACCACAGTTTATAGAATTAGCTGCATCTAAAATAGTAGAATATTCACCGTAAACAGTTCCATTAAGATTATATAAAACTACAGGTCTTGTATGTGCAATACATTTTTTCTTAATTTCATCTAACATAGGAGATCTATTTAAAGCTTTCTCTCTACAAGTCATTTTCTCTATTGTTTCAGGAGAAAGCTTTTTACCTCTGTTTAAACTACCTACCATCTCCCGTCTTGCGTCAGTATAAATATCTTTCATTTTTTGACGGTCAACTTCAGTATGTTTATAACCAAAACTAGAACCTGCCTCAGTTAAAATATTATAATTAGGTAATAACAATTTGAGATATTTATCTTCTAAATCCAACAATTCCTTATTATTTTCTTTAGTAACTATATTAGGATATAATTCTAATATAATTAAAGCAAAATTATTTAATTTATATTTTTTTACTGCTGATTTAACTATTTTACTACCTCTGAAATAAATTAGATGGTTGCTGAATCTAGCATAAAATCTATTAGTTGCCGCAGAACCTATATAGTAATCTTTAGTTATTTTATTAACTATCATGTATATTCCACTTAAACCTTTAGTCTCATTTAATATTTGTTTTCTAATATTTTCTGAATCTAGGTTTTCAAAAATATACACAGGCGGCCTTAGGCCGCCTAATTCTTTAATTATTGAATTTAACCTTTCAGAATAAGAAAATTCAATACTATTATTTGAAGAAGGAATTGTACTATATCTTCTTTTATTTAAATAGTATGTTGACTTATTTAATTTATTATACTTTGTATTTTTCATATTATTTCCTATTGGGTATATTAATACCTTATTTTTTATAACTAAATTTTGTATAGTATAATATACAAGAATTAAAATAATTGCAAAGGAAATACTTATATTAAACCATTTTGGGCTATGTTCATAACCCAAGAAAGCTGTAGCCATCATAAGAATTAAAATAATAACTCCAATAGTCCATACTAGTATTCTAGGTGATTTATATGAACCGTAGTATAATCCTCTTGCTATATGCATTTTATGTTATTTTAAATACTATTCGTACAATGCCATCCCAGGCCTGACAGGCCTGGCATAATTTGTACAATATAAATTTAAAAAGTAATCCGCCTTGTACAATTGTACTCTTATTGGCTGAATTATTTCTTAACTTCTCAGTTAAGGTCAGACCATATCTTTATCTATAATAACTTTAATTTAAACTACCATCTTTCATAATTAACTTTACTTATAGATTGTTAGCGTATAGTCGTTGAGGGGTTTAAATTAATACCCAGCGCTCCTGCGTACGCACCGAAGGAGCGCAGCGGAGCACAGATATATTTAAAATAAAAATTTAAACTTCCCTGCTGATTGTCTAATCTTTCAAATTATTACTTTATAAAATTAAACCATAATTAATTTTATATTAGTATTAAAAGCTCTAAAGAGTTTCCAGCTTATAGCTAATTACTGTTTACAAAAATTTAGTAGAAATTAATATAAACAGGCCCATAAAATTTATTTAAATTACAACTTATACTATTTCTAGTTTTAAGTTAAATTTATCTTTTCTAATTAGAATTATTAATGGGAGAAGAATAAAAAGTATAACCATCTTTAAAAACCCTTCCAGTATCTATATAATTTTTGATACTAGATACAGAGGCTAAGCCAATAGCTTTACCTCCTTCTCTATAACTATTAAATGGAGAACCAGGTATTTCTACTCCATCTTTGTAAATATGTAAATTATAACCTTTACCGCATCCTTGAATAATGGCATATTCTTTAGCTAATAAAAAGTGACTTTAACAGCTTGAGATATTAAACTAAGACAACACCCAATAAATGTATTATAGTTTATATTTGGTTAAGTTTTGATTTAATATCCTTTATTGTACTTAATCCTTCAGGAGTTAAATGTGTTTTAGAATTAATTAATAATAGTATTTCTTTTCAAATGAAATAATTTGTGAGTTTGTTTCCTTTTAAGCCGTAAGCATCAAAATGAGGTATAATTATTGCATTTATGTCTTTAATGCTAGCCACAGTGTAAATTACGGAATTATTTTTAGCATAAAAAGAAACTTTACCTACACCTTTAAAAAACTTTTGTATATTAATTATTAAGGGTAAATCACGATTATTTAAACCAATACTGTAAGCCATTCGTACTTGATTGGTTAAAGGAGAAATAGTTACATGAAAAGAGCTATCACCTTCAGAAAACCCACTTATTCAATTAGGGTTTAAAGAATTTTTATTAGCAATATATTCAGGTCTTACTGTTAGTTCAACTTCTTTAAATTTTAAAGTTAAATTTTTAGGTAAGCCTTTATTAATAGCAGATTTAAGGCTAATTATTTTAGTTAACCCTATATTTGTTAAATGTTCTTTATTAGCCATGATTTCCACACATTGTGTCCATAACTGAAAATCAATTTTTTACAACTTTGTAAAGGATACTGTTTAAAATGAGGTATAATTACATTAATTATATCACTTAATTTTACTACAGTAAACCCAGCTGCTTTACCGTCACTAGTTACATGAATTAAACCAACACCACCCCCTTTCCCCCTGTCCACAAAGTGGGTAAGGGGATAGGGATGATCGCTTTAATCTTATGTAATAGAGGTAAATCTTTAGCATGTAAATTTATACTAAAGGATGCAGAAACGCTCCAACCAGTAGACAATTTAGATTGTTCACGGACTGTAATTTTAAAACATCCTTCAGCATCTGCAAATCCTGAAACTCAATTAGGATTTAGATTGTTTACCGCATGGTTTAAGTTTGTATTTATTGTTGAATAACGTAATAAAGTATTTTGAATCATATAGGGAGTAATTTTAAAACAAAAATTTACTTCACTATTATTTTTTGTTTGTATTATGAAGGAACCTTCGGCATCCGAAAAACCAACAAACCATTGAAGAAATTTATTATCTATATTTTTAAAATCTAAGTTACTTAACCTAGAAAAACCAAAAGGGTTAAATATTTTTAAAAAGGCCTCAAAAATAGCTATTTTAAATAACAGGTAGCCAGTTAAAATTAATTTACAAAGATTAATAATTTTGTTATTAGAACAAGATAGTAATTTGCTATTTATAAATTTATAATTTAGAGCATACACGAAGATAAAAAAGAATGATGCTACATTAGCATGTGTATATCTTACTGCCCATCCATTGTTAACATCTCTCATAATATGTTCAACTGAATTGAAAGCAAAATCTACATGAGGTTGATAATGCATTGCAAGGAATATCCCTGTTAATATTTGTAATACTAAACAAGTTCCTAGTAATGATCCAAAATTCCATAAATATGAAAGGTTAGCTGGTTGAGGAGAATCTACTATATATGAATTTATAAGTCTAAGTAAGACATGTGTTTTTAATATTCTCATTTTATTTTTATTTTTTATTTTTGTTATTTTGTGTTATTATTTTTTCCTTAACTTATCATTATTCTAATTTTAGAAGTTAATGATAGTCATTAAATAACTATATCTAAATGTATATTATTATGTTTTTTATTAAAATAATATATTATATTCATTATTTTAATATATATAATTTTGGTTAAATTTTATTCTTTGTACCTTTTATATTTTTAAACTATAATATTTAATTTTTAAATTATTAAATACTATAGTAAAAGGTTTTTTTTTTACTTATTTTTAATACTATATCACTATTATAATTATTATATAATCTTATAAACACTGTAACTATAATTTAAAAACCAATATAAGCCCAAGAAGATTTGAACTTCTACAGATTCCTTATCAAGAAATTATTCTACCCTTAAATCATAGGCTTTATTATTCCTTTTCTTTATTAAAAAGTATACTTCTTTTATATTAGTTAAAAATTTAAATTAAATTTAATTAGGTGACCCCAACCCCGCTCCCCTACCCCAACCCCGCTCCCCTACCTTTTTTAGGATAAAAAAGGAAGGGTAGGGGGTTGGGGACAGGAGGGGATGATAAATATTATATTGATTATTATTTTTAATTAATATTTTAAATTAATAAGGTGCTATATCAAAAGCAACTAATATGCTTGGTACTAGTATAATAAAGGCTACAGCAACAGGCAATAAGTTAAGCCAACAGAATTCTATAAGTTGATCATATCTTAGTCTAGGTAGAGTAGCTCTGAACCAAACAAATAAAAAACAAAAGATACAAGTTTTTAAACCTAAAATAATAGATTGTAAATTTATGACAGATTCGTTAATGAACAGTTCAGGAGCATTGTATCCACCAAAGAATAAGATAGCAGTAATACAACTAAATAAAACAATTGAACTATATTCAGCAAGGAAGAAGAAAACGAAAATAATAGAACTATGTTCAGTAAAGAAACCAGCAACTAATTCAGATTCAGCTTCTTGAAGGTCAAAAGGTGTTCTACTTGTTTCAGCTAAAATAGAAATAAAATAAAAAATAAATACAGGTAATAAAGGAACAACAAACCACACAGCTTGTTGACTTTCAATTATAGTAGTAAAATTAAATGATCCTGTTAATAATATTACAATAAGAATAGCTGAACTTAAGATTAATTCATAACTAATCATAGCTGCAGTAGATCTAAGAGAACCTAAAAAGGCATATTTAGAATTAGCTGACCAACCTGCAAATAGAATACCATATACTCCTAATGATGATAAAGCTAAAGTATATAAGATACCTAATGAAAAATCTGAAAGAGTTAAACCTTCACCAAAAGGTATAATACCCCAACCTAATAAACTAAAGATTAAAGTAGATATAGGAGCTAAATAAAATAATACTTTATTAGATTGAGAAGGTATAACAGTTTCTTTAAGAATTAATTTAAGAGCATCTGCGAAAGGTTGAAGTATACCATAGTATCCTGTTGTATTAGGACCTACTCTTCGTTGGTGTGCTGCTAATTGTTTTCGTTCGATTATAGTCATAAAAGCTACTGACAGTAACACAGGTAATAAAACTAATAATACATCTATTAAATTTATTAATAAATTTATTATAGTTAAGGTTAAATTATTATTAATCATCTTTTTTCAAATTAAATAATTTTGTTTTGTTTTTTCATTTATAGTATACATATTATTTATTAGAATTATTTAATAAATATATGTTTTAAATGATAATTTATATTAAAATAATAAGTAAAATCAAATTATAACCAATTATAATTTTTTATTTCATAATAACTTCTAAATTATTTTTTTAAATAATTAACTAATTTATTATATATTTTGTTTTTTTGTTTTTTTTATATTTAAGTAATAGACACTGTAACTAATAGGATAGGTTATAACTTTAATAAATTATATATAATTTTTTATAATATATATATATATTTTTACTTTATTCTCTTTTGGACTCGAACCAAAATTGACATTTTAGAAGAATGATGTTCTACCATTGAACTAAGAGAATATTAAAATAGTCTAATACTAATTATTTTTATTTATTTTTTTATAATTTAATTTATTAAAAAGAAAGAAAAAATAAGTTTATTATTATCTAAGCGGCCCTTAACTTAGGTAGGCCTAGTTGTAGGCAAGATAAAAATTAAAAAAATTAGAGTTAAGAAGGAATTGAACCCTAAATAAATAGACTTTGCAAGTCCACTACAGAACCATCTGTAAACTTAACCCTCTCTTATTAAAAATATTTTATTAATTTTAAATAATAAAATATTTAAACTAATTAAAAGAATATTTTACTACTTCTTAATAGGAATTTATATTTTACTTAACATTACTAAGTTAGGAGATATAGAGAATACTCTTTTAAGAAAAAATATTAATAATTAAAAAATTAAATTTTACATCATTATCTCATAATATAAATAAAAAAAATTTAATCACATTAAATTAATTGCTTAACTTTAAGCAGAGATAATTCTTAATATTGATAAGAAATCTTTTTACCTAGCCGACCTGGTTAGGGACTATTTTATTAAATTAATGCCTCAATTAATACCTTTTTATTTTATAAATCAATTATCTTTTTCATTCTTAACATTACTTGCATTAATCTATATTATTTCTAAATATTTTTTACCTTTATTCACATTTCAACAAGTAATTAGAATGTATATTACTAAACTTAATAATAAATAATTAAAAATATTTTTATCCCCCTCCCTCGCTCTGCGCTGGCGCGGAGATCGCGTGCCCCCATCCCCTAGCTTCGCGCTAGCGGCATGGAAGGGAAGCTAGCATCCCGCCTTCCCTTTTACCCCAAGGGGATCCAGGGGTCGGGTGGGGAGGGTTTTGACCCAAATTATAAATTTTAAGAAAATTTTAATAATAAACCTTTTTCTGGGTTATTTATTTAAAAAGCTATTACTTTATTAGTAATAATAAAAGTCAGAATAATAATGTATATTATAAAAGTAAGAATAATGTATATTATAAAAGTAAGAATAATGTATATAAATAAAGTCAGAATATTAGTGTATATAATAAATTTAATATTTTTATATTATATCCAATGATAAATTACAAGATAAAATTCTAAATTTAATTTAGATATTAAAAATTCAAGTTAATGAACTGGCCACATAGGTTAAAAAATATCAATATTTAATGTTGAAGTAGCGGCTAATGAAGGGCTGCCGTATATTACTTATTCTAGGCTCGCGCCAGCGCATCCATTTATTTTTTTTTTTAATTAAAAACAAAAAGCAAAAGGGGGTAATAATAAATTTAAATAATTGTTAAATTGTAAATAGGTTGATTATTTTAAAGAAGGAGATAGAACTAATACTAAAGCTGCAAGATAAATAATAACTAATCTAATTTCACTAAATAAAGAAGTATCTATTAATATAGGTGCAAATACTAAGAATAATAAAGATAGTAGACCTAAAGTAATATATAGTGAATAAGTTGTTACTACTCCAGTATCTAATTTACCAATATTAATACCAGTATTTGTTAAAGTATTAGATAATCCGTATGGTCCAACTAGTTCTATCACACCTCTATCTAATACTTTTGATATCATGTAACCTAGATGTAATCCACCTGAAATTATATAGTTATTATAAACTACATCGAATAGATATTTACCATTTAAAAATGTATAAATTTTTCTACCTATAGAATTATCTGTTAGTTCTATAACAAAATTAGGAGTATAATGGTATAATAAAATAGCTAAAGAAGCACCAAATAAAGATAAAATAGCAGGTAATAGTTTAATAAAAATAGGTAAACTAAATTCAGCTTCAATAATAGAAATATTATTAGGATGAATAAATAAAGAGTTAGCGAAGAAATCTGAACCTATTCCTACAAATAAATCAGAAAATACAAAACCAAAGAAAATACTAAATAAAGCTAGTATAAACAATGGAATTATTACGGCTAAATTTGCTTCATGAGCATTTAAGTAAGCATTTCGTGACCCATTAGGAACTGTTAAGAATACTAATGAAATTAATCTAAATGAATAAAATGCTGTTAAACCAGCAGTTAAACTACCTAATATAAATGCAAAAGTACCGCTAAAGCTATATTGTGCATAAGCTAATTCTATTATTAAATCTTTACTATAGAATCCTGTACTATTCTTTCCACTCGCTCTTCCAGTATAACTTAAATCTATATTTATACCGAGGTTTAGTGGGTAATAAATATTTAGATAAGTTATTTTTCGTATTAGACGGGTCTAAACCTAACAATTCGCATAAATCAAGGAAAGCTGATTCAGTATTAGAATGATATCTTACTTTCATGTTATCTAAAGTATCAACAGAAATTACTTCTTGTAAATGTTTGTATCTTCTGTCTGCATTTTTAAGTATAGCTAATGGAATATTAGGTTTGGTAATATTAGGGTCAAAATCTTTTTCCCAAACTAACCAAAATCTATTAAGGAAAATTCTTTTTTTAAGAATATCTTCATTTAAACCAGATAAATAATAAACATTAAAATGACTGAATGTTATTTTTTTATTTTTATAAAGTTCATCCATATTAGCTAAATTTTTTAATTCTAAAAATGCGTCTTTAGGTGAATCATGAAATCTTATTCTATTATCCTCTAACAAGTCATATGATACTACTCTTTCTACTTGAACCTGTTTTTGTTTAGTTAAATTTTCAGTTATATCTGTTGAACTTACTAAATAAACCCCTAATTTTCCTTTTTCCGCTAAGTTATTTACTACTAAGCTTAAGGTGGGATCTAAATCTAATGATGAAGTAGAAACTTTAATTAAAAATTCTTTATTTCTAAATTTAGCCATTTCAACCCTTATACCTGTTTTATTGGTTAATTCGGTTATTGTTTTAAATCTTGATACTATAGTTTTTTTATCTGATAGTACTAGGTAGTAATAACCCTTTTCTAATGAGTTAAAATCAATACCTACAATATTCGCAAGTAATTCACTTTTGTGAGGTTTAGGTTTCAAGCTAATATCCTTATTTTTATTTATAATAAGTAAATTTTTATTAGCTACTGGTGAGAAAACATAATTAGAAAGTACATTCATATTCCAATCTAATTGGCTTCTTGTAATCCCTAATTGTGAGCAAACTTCCTGGTAGTTATTAAAGGTTTTATAAAGAATACCGTCTTCATCAAAAGTTTCAACAATATTAGTATTTGAGTCTTTATACTCTTTAATATTAACGTTTGAAAAATTATAGGAAACAATTCTATCATCATTGATTTCAGGTCCATAAAAGCTAATCATAGCTTGTTCTAAAGTTCTTATGTAGAACTCAGTAAAAGATTTAAGAATAAAATGGGATCTTGAATCCAGACTTAGAGAAGGATATCTATTATGCCATAATTTTATAAAATTAACCCCTTCAACTCCTACATAGAAGTAAAAATTTTTATAACCATCGAACAACAACTCTTTAGCGGCCTATGGCCGGTTACCTCTGTATAAAACTCTTTCTTGACTAGTAGTTAAGTTTTCAGTTTGAGAGTCAAGTGTTTTAAAACAATTTTTTAAGTAGCTTTCCATTCTATTTACAGGATTTATAGTAGATCCAATATTCATTCTAATACTTGCCATTACTTTCTTTCCGCTGGTTGCGTTGACAGGTGTTGATATAGTATTGTCTTTATCGTTTATTTCAACAAAACAATAAACCCAAGAGCTCATCAAGTCCCCAGCTTTATGCAATTTAGTTAACACAGTCCAATCTGAATAACTTAATAATTTTTGATTTTTTACCACCACATCAAAAGTTGATATAGAATAACCTGTATCAGGTTTACCAAAAAAGTAAGGGTTATCATTTGAAACTGGTTTAACTAAAAACTCACATTCGGTTTTAACAAATTCAGAAATGGGGGTGTTATTATTATTAATTAATACAAAATTATACAATTCGACGACTTTATTGTGTGCTTTAAGTCCGGAGGGTGTTAAACTCCACGGGATGTATTGAAGATCAGGTTTACTTAATGTCCTTCCATTCGATCCTGCATTTGCAGCGCAGGGGCGTGCCGTGTGATATCTCCTTACAGAAATATGACCAACACCACCTTTAGCTACAAAATTGGTTTCTCGTTAGGTAAAGATTTATTAACTTCATTCTTATCTGGATATACTACAAGGCATAATGTGAAGAATAGAATAAGTAATAATCTAGGATTTACAATTTGAACATCAAATAAAACAGATCCAAATACGATATAAAGCAGAGATAATAAAGAAAGTATTATATATAATCCGTAAGTGGTAATTATTCCAGTATCTAATTTAGAGAAATTTACACCTGTATTAATTAGGGTATTAGATAATCCAAAAGGTCCGATAAATTCAATTACACCTCTATCTAAAACTTTAGAGATAGTATAACCTAATTTTAAACCTGCTCCAATTATATAATTGTTATAAACTACATCAAATAAATATTTACCATTTAAGAATGTATAAATACTTCTACCTAATGATGTTTCAGTAGTATTTACAAAGATTATTGGTAAAAAATTGTAAATAAAGAAAGCAGATGCAGCTCCAAAGACAGTACAAATTAGAGGCAGTAATTTAACAATAGGATTCATAGAGAATTCAGCCTCAATTAAGGCTACTCTGTTAGGGTGTATGAATATAGCGTTCCCAAAGAAATCGGTACCAACTCCTGCAAACATGTCAGAAACGAAGTACCCGAACCCAATACTGAATAATGATAATACGAATAATGGTACAATTACAGCTAAAGTAGCTTCATGAGTATTATCATAGCTAGCTTTAGGACCATTAGGTACTGTAAGGAACACTAGGCATAACAGTCTCATAGAGTAGAAAGCAGTTAAACCAGCAGTCACGGTACCTAAGATGAAAGCATAAGTTCCACTGAAGCTGTATTGTGCATAAGCTAGTTCAATAATAAGATCTTTAGAATAAAAGGCAGTTAAGTATGGTGTAGCTAGTAATGATAAAGATCCTACTAACATACATGTATAGGTAAAGGGTAAGAAGTTTATTAAACCTCCAAATCTCCTTACATCTTGTTGATCTGCAAAACTATGAATTACTGCACCAGCTCCTAAGAATAATAATGCTTTGAAGAAAGCATGGTTAACCACATGCATTAATGCTACATTATATTGACTAAGACCAACAGCCATTACCATATAACCTAACTGACTTATTGTAGAGAATGCTATTATTCGTTTTAAATCATTTTGTACTAGACCACATGTGGCTGCAAAAAAGGCTGTAGAGGCACCTACTAAAGTTATGACTAATAGTGCAGTACTACTATATTCTAATAATGGTGAGGATCTTACTAATAAGTATAATCCGGCTGTTACTAGTGTAGCTGCATGAATTAAGGCTGAAACTGGTGTAGGACCCTCCATAGATCCTGGTAGCCAAGAGTGTAATGGAATTTGAGCTGATTTAGCCATAGCTCCCGTAAGAAGTAATAAACCTATAATAGTTATAGCTGTTTCATTCATAAAAGGTGCTAAACTAAATACAGTGGCATAGTCTATAGATCCAAATAAAGCAAATAATGCAAAGAATCCTATACTAAGACCCATGTCACCGACTCTATTCATAGTTAAAGCTAGAATAGCTGCTTTATTTGCTTGTAATCTAGTAAACCAGAAATTAATTAGTAAGTATGATACTACACCGATTCCTTCCCAACCCACAAACATTACAAAATAATTAGCACCTGAGACTAATAATAACATAAAGAAAGTGAATAAAGATAAATATGAGAAAAATCTCTGATTATGAGGATCTTCAGACATATAATCTGTTGAAAATATATGGATTAAAGAAGAAATATATAGAACAGGTATAAACATTGAACAATCCTAGTTAACCTGGCATTGATGTCACCTCTTTGTTAGAGGAATAGATATCAATAGTAGTTTAGTTACTCAGGGGTTAATGACCTCTTGGCAAAGGCTATCCACTATGCGTAGTGTTTTTTGCGATAAATATTTCCCCCCTACGATCTCGCATTCGTTCTAGGATCCGACTGTACATTCGGACAGACATTTCAGCCTAACCCCGGTGAACCAGTCTGTAGCGACATCTATAACTGCCGACGGTCTTGAAGTATATTCTCATTAACCGTTAATTCACCTATTTGTATAAGCATAGAATTGTTTGATTATAGTCTTGCTCAATTCCTAATAGCGATATCCTTTGTTAATCTAAGTATTACTTCTTATTACAAATTATCACTGATAATTCCCTTTCCCTGTTTATGTTAGCAGGAGTAGTAGGTGAAGTGGATACTTAAATATCTTTATTCGATCGCGTATATTATTAAAATAAATTTTTTTTTGATAGAAGCTAATTAATTTAGCTTCTTGTTAAATAAAAGCTCTAGTTGTAAAAAGGTAGAAGTTTAGATCTAATAATTATATGAAAAAATGGGTATTTAATCTATAAATAGCTTATTTTGTGTGCACGCCCCATACTCGCTACGCAGCCAGCGCTACTTCGATAAAAAAAAGCTTCCCTCCCTCCCTCTGCCTCGCTCCGCGCTAGCGCAAAGCTAGCGCAGCGAGGGGAGGGTAGTAAATACTCCTACTCTTTTGATAAAATGCTTTTTAATTGCTACATATCCATCCTTTCTTGTGGAGTCTTCTTTTGAATTGGAAGCGCTACGCGGCAGCAGCACCGCTGCATTAAAATCAAGATATTGACTTAAAGTATCCGGGTATAAGCCTACAATTTTAGCAGCTTCGCTTAAAGAATTTGCTAATATAAAAGATCCATCCTCTTTGAAGATTTCATACACACAGCAAACTAGTTTAGGAAGAATTTTTTTAGTAGTACTATCTATCACTCTTCCATCTGGAAGCCGTATAAATGTAGGTTCAGCATTGAATAAAATTTTTAATTCTTCCTTAGTTAAAGATTTAACTTCCCCATTATAAGTAGATAATCTAAAATTATTCATTGTATTTGATAATTTCAAAATTAAGGCTCTTATTTTCTCTATTCTATGACCACCTTCGTAAATAACTTTACAAATAAATTTAAAATCATAAAAATCTTTACCTTTTTTAGTTAAAAATTCCTCATTTTCAAAGAAAGGTATTAAATAATTATTCAACACATTAATGTTTTGAATAGTAATTGAGACAGTACTTTTACTATTAATAGTTCTAGCTTTTATTGAAGCTATAGCTATAGTATTAGTGTTTTTAATTTTATATAAAGAAAATGTATCAAAACCTAGAGAAGCCTCTAAGAACTCCTTTATTTTAAGCATTACAGGTAATTGTACTGCGGTATTTTCAAGACTAAAAATAGGTGTTAAATTATCTCTTCTTAAGAAAAAGGAGCCGTCTCCTTCAATGAAACCTAAAAGCCAACTTTTGGTGATTACAATTTTAGAATTTTCAGGTCTATCAAAAAGGATACGATTAGTATTCATATTTTTTTTAAATCCTAATATGCGATCCTTTATGCTATCAGGATTTAAATTAGGACCTCTATCAAAATATAAAAAATAAGCTTCTTTAAAATCTAAATAATCAAGATACTTTGAAGTGTTTAAATTAAATTTATCGAAAATAGAGATTAGTATAGCAATCTCTTTTTGTTTTGTAATTGTAAAAATACATTCGTCTTTATATAAACGAACTCCCCCTATTCTTAATCGATCCTTAATAATTCTTAATACTTTTTCATCGTCTTTATGCAAAGTTATCTTAAACATGAATACAAAACTTGAGATAGACAACTCATTTTTTTTTAAAAAAGGATTTATGATAAAACAACCCTCAGCATCAGTAAACCCTACAAACCACTCTAAAAATTTAGAATCAATAGAATCTTTTTCTCGCGTATTTGTCGGCAGCAGCGGCAGCTGCGGCAGCTGCACAGAATCGTACCGATGCAAAGTGGAATATTTCCTTATATTGGTTGTAAGTGTAGCCTTATTTTTGGAGTTAGTGAAGAGAGGTCTCTGGCTACCTACCTGGCAGACAAAAAGATAACTTAGCCTTTTTACAAATAAAATAAAATTTATTTTAATAAATATCTTATACAGTTGGATTAATACCAACACTGCTCCAATCTCTACCGTTAGATAGAGAGCCAATAAATAAACAGTTAATTGATCAAATAAGAATTCCCAAGATATAGATAAAAATTCTGAATCAATCCAACTATTTAAATGAATTGAGAGAGGTGAACCACATATTCCTACTTCATAAAAAGCTACACTCGCTAAAATTGAAGATAAAATTAAGCAAGTACATGTTATAATATGTGAACCACTTACTCCTATTTTTCGTCCCATTAATCCTGATACTATTGAACCTAATAAAGGTAATATTAATATTGATAGATACATTAGCTTCTTTCCCTTAAAGGGTATGAGATGTTTCCTCTTAATCGATAAAAAGCTACAAGAATACTTAAACCTATTACTGATTCTGCTCCTGCTATTGATATTATAAAGATACTAAAAGTTTGTCCTATTCCATCATCAAAAGTGAATGAACTTATTAAAACTAACAGTGTTACAGCTAATAGCATTATTTCTATGGCAATAATCATTAGAATAATATTTTTTCGATTTAAAACAAATCCTAAAATACCTATTAAAAATAAGAATAATGACAGATTCATGGTTTTTTTTGTAATATTCCTTTGGGAACCGGTAATAATTGTATTGTACCTAACCTGCTTCTGCTCTCCTTTTTTTTATTAAAAAACAAAAAACAAAAGGAAGACAGGACAGGTATAGAAACAAGTGGATATGGGGTGATTATATATATTATTATTTTAAGTTTAATTTTATTTTTTTATTTTTGTTTATAAAGTGAGGCTAGAAACAAAAATTAGAAGGTAAAGATAAATAGTTTAGAATAGTTTTTACTTTAACTAATACGCTCTCCTCAGGACAGTGGTAAAACTGTTAGACGGCCTGTGGGGGGTATAGCAACCATTAGATCCTAATAGATTTAATTTCTCCGCTAGTTGTTATGATGAAAAGAAGTACATATTATTTTAACCATAAGTATTGTTGTGGAAAAGATATGAATTTGGACGTTTCTAATCATCTTTTTGGTATTAGATTTTATTCAAAGGATAGATTGAATATGGATAATAATATAAAATATATTTCTAAAAATAAATTAAATAAAAAAAATTTAATAAAAATAGTATAGGTACTTCTATTTTTATTTCATTTTTATTTACATTTTCATTAATTTTATTATAATTAATTATACAAGCTAAGAATTGGAAAGGTTCTTTACTATTTAATAAGTAATTATCTTTAAATATGTTAAAATCTGTTTTAAATGAATTTAAAATATCATCAATATTAGAATTAACCCAATTTATTCTACCTTTTCTACTTAATTTATCTTTACCAAACGTATTTGCTAAATATATTTTAAAATAATCTATATCATTTAATTTTAAATTTTTAACTTTACTTTGTGATGTTAATTCATATGAATTATCATCTAGTATTTCTTGTAATACTTCGTTATATCTACTATCTTTAATACTTTCCGTTATATCATTAAATAATATTAATGATCTAGCTAAATCATTACTTTGATAATTTAAATAATGAGATGTAGGGTAAATTCTTCCTCTAAAATCTAAAAATGTTGTAAAATAAATAGTTTGATCTTTCATTAATAAAGCTATATTAATAATATTTGTATTAATCCAATATTTAGAATTATGAGATAATATATCTTTTTTAATTGATGATTTTACATTTTCAAATTCATTTGTTAATGGATGTGGTTTATTTAAACCTTTAAATAAATTACTATCTTTATTTTCCCATTCTTTAATAATTATATTTAACATATCTTTATTAATCTTGAATGGTATATTATTTAAAAAATTAATACATTTTATTTGATCTTCTGATATTACACTATTAAATTTATTATAAGGATGTTGTCTAATAACTTGATTATTTTTACTTAATTCATTATATTGATCTAAGTAGTATCCACCTAATTTTGTTATTTCAATATTTTTAGATTCACTAGAGATATTATATTCCCACAATTTAGGTTTTGCTATCATAGGTATTTTTATTGGATTAAAAATAGAACTAGTTAAAATTGCTAAATAATTAGGTTTAATAGATATATAAATGTAATGTTCATTTTTTTCAAAGATACTATTTTTAGTAAATATATAATCAAATTCATCTAAAATAAGTTCTAATAATAAAGATCCAAATTTATATTTAGTTTCATGAGGTAAAACATCTAATTTTTCTTCAATATCTTTAATAATATTTATTTCTTGTTCAGATAAATTTTCTAAAAATTTATTATTTTTTTTAATATTATATTTTAATAAAATTAACATTTCTTCAGATAAATTACCTAATAATTCATTTTGTGTTATTCCACCTGATAAACCAATAAATCTAACAACCTTACTAAAAAGCATATTTATTAATTGATCAGTGTCAATACTAATAAATAAAACTAAAGCTAGCTGTTGATCTAGTTTAGATATATCGTTTTTATTTTTTAAATAAGCTTCATAATTTCTTTTTCTATTATTTTCAATAAATATATGAATTCTATCTCTAAACTGTGGAGTTGAATGTTTATAAATTCTAGTTAATAATTTAAAATCATTTAAGCTTGAATCCATATTTTTTATTATATGATATGTAAATTCTTTTTCATAATTTAAAATAAAATTTTCTAACATTAATTGTTTTTTATCAGAACTTATACCTTCGTTATTTATAATTTCTCTACATTTTATATATAAATATGAATTACTACTTAAAGAATTTTCTCTAGTTAATTCATTATCATTAATTCTAATATAATTACTATTTTTATTCATAAATTCATATATTTGAATTAATTCATCGTGTGTAGTATTATTATTTATAATCATATCTTCAAAGAATTCATTAAATTTTTTGTATCGATCATTAATATTTATTTCATTAAGATTTTGACTTAATTTAATAATAAATTGATGAATATCAAAAGCTTTATAAACATCTTCAGATAAACTATTTAAATCTTTTTTAATTGATTCATTAAAAATACTTAGTTTTTTAACTATATTTTTTTTGTTTTTTAGTAAAGATTCTTTTCCATTAAAATATGTTTCATTAAAAAAATTTATTACGATTAATTTTAATTCATCCAACATATTATTTAAAATATCTTTATATCCTAAAAATATTAATCTTGGACTCATTCTTTTTACTTTATTTTTTCCTTTTTTAATAGTATAAGTTTCTTTTTTTTCCATTTTAGAATATGTTATTAATTCATTTTTATATTTATCAAAAAATTGTCTTTTACTAAAGCTTGTGTTTAAATTATTGTCTTCTATATATTTACAGATACTTAATATTTTTAGTAGTAAATCTTCAACATATTTATATTTTTCTTCTAATTTCAAATCTGAATCATCTAATACTTGTTCAGAATCATGTATTATTTCTTTTTTAATCATATTTTTTATCATATCACACATATTTTTATAATATTCATCAGATTCAATTATATTTTCATTACTAAAAACACTATCATCAAAGATAATTTTATTTCTAAATTTTTTATTTATATTAATTAATAATATATCTAAATTATCAGATTCACTATAACCTAAATCCCTTAATATTTCATTTATATTTTTTCTAGTTATAATAAATTCATTTATTAAAGAATTAATTAATTCTTTAGGTAAGAATTTATTATAAATAAAAAGCTTATCTTTAATAGAATTAAATTTTACTATATATTCATATAAATTTAAAACATATATTACATTAGTTCTAATTAAAGGATTTAGTTCATTAAGATAAATTTTAAATAATTCATCTCCAACTAAATTTGGGTAATTTTCTAATATAAATTTATCAGTTACTTCTTTATCTTCGACTATTTGTTTTAAATAATTTTCATAAGAACCAAATATTTCTATTTTTTTTTGAATACTTAAATTTATATAATTTTCATATTTATTTTGATTATTATCAGTTAAAGTATTTATACCTCTTTTCATATTTAATAAATTTATAGATTTATAATTATATATTAGATTGTTATTATATGTATTTAATCTATTTTTATTACTTAATAATAACAATAAGATAGAATTTTTATCTATTTTTTTAAAATAATTATATACAACTACATAATCATCTATATTTTCTTGTAAATGACTACTAATAAATAAATTAACTAATATCATAATTAATAATAAGATTAAATTTATTATTAATAAAACATTCATAAATTTATCATTAAAATTTTCTCCTTTATTTAAATATTTATTTATATTATTATGATATTTAATAGGAATATATTTATTTACTATGTTTTTAATCATTTTAATACTAAAACTATTTATTTTTTTATCGAATATTATCATTATTATCATTATTAAGATTACTATTTCAGCCACATTTAATATAGTAATATTTTCTAATAAACCAAGTAATGGTATAACATTTTCACCATCTTCTAATGGACAATTAATTTTAGGATCAGGTGAAGGTATTCTGTCAGGATTAGGATCAGAATATGGATGATCTTTAATAGATTCATTAACATTATTTTTAATACTATCTAAATTTAATTTATTTTTAGAAATATGTTCTCCAACACTTGCACCAACATAAGTAACAGTACTAGTAGCACCAGCTGTTGCAACAACAACA